CCACAAAACTGATTTTTGAGTACTTTTTCCCCAAATGTATTACATCCTACCAGTCTTCTAATAGCGGTGTTCAAATGATCATGCTTTTTTGGGTAATTTGCACACTGACATTGTTATTCCAACGCAACTTTGAATGAACTGTAAATGCTACGTTCAATCTAGAAAGTACTATCGCAAAACGCTCTGAAATAATAATTATAACAGCAGAATAGTGCTAGTAATAAAGTAAAGTGACTTCTAAAGACTGAATGTTTTTTGCAAACTTCATATACAGGGCCCGGTTTTTGTTATAAAACTGTGTTAGCTTCACGTTCATGTCATACCATGGCAACAGCCGAAAACATCTTGCTTGCTTTTTGAGCGGAGCGAATTGCCAACCAGCCTACCGGCTTGTCTGAATGTGCCCCTGTAGGTTTATTCAGTGGTACTTGCATTCTACCTTGATGCATTGAAATTGTATTTTGTGGTAGTTTTGATATTCTCTCTTATAGTTCTGTTCTTTATTTCTTGCAGGTAAATGTTTTAGTGAAGTTCTTTATCGAACATCAAGGACTCTAGGGATGAACGATGCAGAAGGGCAACGTATATTACAGGTGATTATAAATTTCTTTAGCTAGAATGAGCCAAATTCTATTATTACGATGATGCCTTTTCTGAGAAGCAAAAATCTGTACATATGCATGACATCTGGGGAATGGTGTTCATAAGACCATGTCCTACAAATAGTTTTTGTCACTTTAGCGCATGAAGGTTTTAAGGCGTATACAGTTGTGGGACATTGTCTTACTTACTGTCATCACAATATTGGATGGTACACCAAATAAACAAAGTTACCTGCTAATTGATTTAATCATGGAAACATTTTTGGTCAAACTATTCTCAGCAATTGAGCTGCAAAATGGGAGAAACACAATTGTGATGTCATTTTTTTATGATTGCTAGAAAGAATTGTTTATATGTCATACCTTTCCCTGCTCTGGTTCTTTGTTAAATGTGCTCAGGACTGGAGATGTGCCCTTCAATAAATTTCTGTGGTATTTAGCCTCAAGAACTGTTTGTGAACACCAATACATATATTTAGTTGTCTCGCTCATTCTTGTAAATCATTTTGATGACTGTAACTGTGCCTACTTTCCACATGCACTTGTCAAATATTAGGATAGGCAATCAAACAAGCCAGATCAATTGTGACTATAAACTATCCTATCTAAGGGAACTGATCATTACCACCCAGCCGGTTTCCTGTGAGTTTGACTCGGTTTACCGTACCGGTCGTTGCTTTACCGTACCGACCGTTGCGTTACCGTACCGACCGTTGCGTTACCGTACCGACCGTTGCGTTACCGTACCGGCCGGTGCTTTA